GAGCCACCCAGGCGCCCTTTTTTGTAGTTTCTAATCTATACTAATCCAGTGTATTTTTAACCTCGGACCTTTTTTTTAATCTCTAAAAGTTCAATTTGGGTCTTTTATATTTCCTACATGTCTCTTCTTAACAGGTTTACACTTCACTGTCTTGAACATAAAGAATATAAGTTTATAATAATTGATTCAATGTGTTGGTCTAGTAATTTTTTTTCACGTAGGTTCCCACACCCAGCGTGGATCCCGGTACAGGGCTTGAACTCATGACCCTGAGATCAAGACCTGAGCTGAGATTAAGAGTCGGATGCTTAACAGAGTGAGCCACCCAGGTGCCCCAATTAATTTTATCTTCTATCTCACTTTGGAACTGTGTCTGTTGATAGAGTTTTCTTATTTTGGTTCATATTTTCTAATTTGTTTGCCTTCCTGAAAATCTTTGGATGGCAAACACTGAATTTTGCCTTGTTGGGTATTGGATATTTTTGTATTTCTTTAAATATTCCTGAGCTTTGTTCTGGAATGTAGCTAAGTTCCTAGGACACCTAGGAGACAGTTTTCTTTTGAGGCTTGCTGTTAAGACAAGAGCAGCCTTTAAGTTGGTGCTAATTTTTACCCACTACTGGGGAAATACCCTTCTGAATACTCTACCAATGCCCACTTTGACTCCTGGGAACAGGAACTATCCCCACCCATTTGAGTCCCAAGGATTGTCTGCCTGTTCCTTTCTGGTGGTTCTTTCCCCCAACATTGGGTAATTTCCTCAAATGCATCCATTCATCAGAATTCAGCTGAAGACATGAAAGAACTCTCTGCCAATCTCTAGAGTTCCCCCTCTGCAACTCTCCTTTCTGATACTCTTCCCTGATTTTTAGTTGCCTTTTCCTCACCAGATTCTCAACTCAGGGAGATCAGTGGGTTCGGGTTTGGTTCTTCTTCCCTGTGCTGTGGCTTGAGTGCTTCAGTCAGTAAGCTGGAGCAGAGTTCACTCATAATTTTTTTCTTTCAGGGATTATGGTCCTGTGCTGCCCTTTGAATAGTTCTGTAAGATAGAGTGCATCTGATCCCTATTAATTTCACTGTGGCTGGAAGTAGCAGGCCCCAAATTCTGGGTTTTAATTTTTTATTAGAGACTTTCTGTTCCCCATGAAGAGTCTGTTCAGAGACAGCCTTCCATTCACATAGTATTTTTATTATTTTTTTCTTTCTTTCTTAATTGAGTTTTCATTGGTTGTTTTGAGGATCAGTACAGACATTTCAGTTTGTACACCATTCTTAACATATGTACCGAAAATCTAAAAAAACCACATAGTTGTGATTCTTTTCTAAAAGTTATTCCATTGACCTTCTAGCTTAAAATTTGGAGGCAAATTTTCCTTAACAGTATATCAAGTACCAAATCTTCAAATGCTGATACACTGTTACATTGTTAAGTCTCATTAATTCACAATTTAATATATACACTACATATTCAAATTCTCAATGTTGCACAGCACATTAACAGAGTTATTAGGAAAACTGGACTACCACGACCAAGATGTTACAGAGTGCACAAGAATTCTGACCGGGAGAGCCAAGATCTAGGAGTGGTTTTCTTTAGGAAACAATTCTACCAAAAACAACATGGGAATAGAAGTAATTTAAAATATTCAAGACAGGGCGCCTGGGTGGCTCAGTTGTTTAAGTGACTGCCTTCGGCTCAGGTCATGATCCTGGAGTCCCGGGATCGAGTCCCGCATCAGGCTCCCTGCTCAGCGGGGGGTCTGCTTCTCCCTCTGACCCTCTTCCCTCTTGTGCTGTCTCTCATTCTCTCTCTCAAATAAATAAATAAAATCTTTAAAAAAAAAATATTCAAGACATAGTAAATGCACGACTGACTCCAAATTGCCATTTAGTATGCTTGGTATTATAGGATATAAAAACTACCCCATCTATGGAATGTTGAGCTGACACCCAAGACAATCAAGCCTCCCACATTCAATATCCCACTATTTCCTGGTTGTACCAAAAAATAAACAACCAGCAAATGATTTCACCTCTTAAAAAAAAAGCATTTACATGTAAAAAATGGGATGAAGTGGGATTCCCCCCTTCTTAATGTTTCTAGAGCTACTAAAAAACTTGCATTTACAAAATAGTTGATAAAAATATTTCTCTGGATTGTACAAGAAGGGCGACAGGGACCACTGATAAGACATGGTTTATGGTATTAATCAGACTTGGCTTCTTTCTCTCCTGCTTCATCAGAGCTGGACTCTCCTCATTTTTAGTTTCTCCGTTTTCTGCAGGTAAGTCTTCTTTCGTTTCTTGGTTAGCCACTTCAGCCTGTTTTCCCTTTGTTCCCCTTTTCCCCTTTGTTTGCACTTTTTTGTCTGAAGATTTATCCTTTCCTGCCGCCTTTTTTGGCTTCGTTTCCACTTTTGCAGGAGCAGGTTTAGCTGACAACCTCGCCGACCTCCTCTTGGGCAATCCTCCTTCGCCGCCCCCTCGGCGGAGCTGACCTTCCTCCTGGGCATCGTGGTGGTGGGGCGGGCGCATGCCGTGTGCCTGCAGGCCCCGGGGCGCCGAGAGCCTTTGCGAAGCTGGGCTGCCTGGCCGCTGCTGCTCCTCCCGCCGCCCAAGCTGCTTCACATAGTATTTTAAAATATGTATCACTCAATATCGTTTGTCATCAGGGGAATGCAAATTTAAACCACAATGAGATACTGCTGTTTACCTACTGGAATGGCTAAAATTAAAAACTCTGGGTGGTTCAGTTGGCTAAGCGTCCAACTCTTGATCTCAGCTCAGTTCTTGATCTCAGGGTCATGAGCTCAAGCCTTGTGTTGGGCTCCACACTGGACGTAGAGCCTACTTAAAAAAACGAAAAAACAAAAAAGCTTCTGACACCACTAAATGGTGACAAGGATATGAAGCAACTGGAACTCTCATACTTTGTGCTACAGGCACACTGGAAATTATACAATCACTTTGTTAAAAGTTCTACTAGTTTTGTTTTTTTTTTTATAAAACTAAGAATACACCTGCCTGACAACCCAACAATTCTATCCTTAAATGTTTACCCAAGAGAAATAAAAATATATTCACAGAAAGACTTAAGAATATTCATAGCAGCTTTATTCATAATAGCCCTAGACTGGAAACAGCCCAGGTGTCCATCATAGTAGAATAAATAAACACATCAGTGTATATGTTCAATGGAAGACTCAACATAGTAATCATAGTAATACACGCATAGTGACTTCATTACAAAGGGTACAGTATGGATGGAAAGGGGGGGAAAAGCTAATTTTACAGTGAAGAAACCTGATAAACCTCATCCTAACAAAGTGATCAAGGTTAATGTCAGTAAATTATGTTAATAATATGTACCTTTAATATGATGTAATGAGAATGGCACTTTTCCACTGGTTCCTCCCCAGAACCAATAACACCAGTATGTATAATCATGAGAAAAACATCAGAAAGAGGTCCCAATTGAAGGACATTTTATAAAATACCTGACCAATGGTTCTCAGAACTTTCAAGAATATCAAAAAGAAGGAAATTCTGAGAAACTGTTAGAGCCAAGAGGAGGAGACTGAGGAGATATAATAAGTAGATGTAAATGTTGTATCCTAGATGGGATCCTGGGAGGGAAAAAAGGGCATTAGGTAAGAACTAAGGAAATCTGAGCGAAGAATGGACTTTAGATAATAATGTATCAGTATTGGTTCATTAGTTGTGATAAATGTGCCATAATAATATAGGATATTAATAAAAGGAACAACTGGTATGGAGCATATAGAGCTCTCTGTACTATCTCTGCAGTTTATTTTAAAAAATATATGAAGTTTACAGTTTATTAAAGTTATACAAATCTTAGACTGCAGGAATGCTGAGTAAGAATGGAGCTCATAGTTAGGTTTCTGAATGCAATGGAGTGTTTATTATTGTGTAGCAAGATAAGGAGAATAGGACAATGTATTATATTCTTCATGAAGCTAAGTTGATATAATTTTAAGGTTCTTTATTCTAAGATTGTTTCTAGAGTTTGTGATGCTAAAATATCATTAGCTTTGAAATGACACTAATAAGTAGATTTGGTCTACTACTATACAATCATAATAAAAGTCGATTATTAGTCCTTGGAATTTAAAAAAAAAATCTGAGAGCCACGGCCTTTATCAGTTCATTTCCTGAAAACTTTCAGAAAATTTATATTCCTGCTTCGTAGCACTAAAATACTATTGCTTTATGGTATTTCTCTTACATGTACTTTTACCTGGTTTAAGAGTCTAGATAGGTATCTAGACAGATAGGTATCTGATCCTTTCCGTCACCCTTCAGCAAAGGAAATAAAAGCAGAAGAGCCAAATAAAGTGAGAGTTCCCACAGTCTCATCTCACATCCATCCAGTGGTGAAAGGAAATTCCAGGATCTTCCGAAGTTCAGAATCCAAGAGAAGAATTCTTTCATCAATTCTTTCTTACCAGTGCGGTGGAAAATGGAGGCACCTTCATTTGGCACCCCAGGGCAATGCATTCAGAAAGTGGTGGGAATCTGTCCATAATGGAACCCAAAAAGGTTAATCATGGGTTTTTATGTTTTAGGGTGGAGTGAGCTGGGGTTTTTTGTTCCTAGATTTATAAAAGTTGTAAATTCCATTGACCTTTTCACATTATCTGGAAATAATTTAAACCTTCATCAGCTTCTACAACTGCTATTACATTGTATGGTAGTACATTTAAAAAGCAAGGTGAAGTTTCAGGTGTTCTTGTTGATAGCTGTACCTTTGTACATTAAATGTATGTTTAAGTGATGTGTATCCTCCATTCAAATGTGCATTAGTTTGCCCAGCAAACATTTAGTGATTACTGTTGGCCACTATAATGTGTGCTGTGCGTATACATGTGAACAAGATCATCTTTGCCTTGAAGTGGCTCCTGATCTAGTTGAGAGACATGATTGCCATACAGTATGATAAGTACTTTATTAAAGATTAATGTGTATTTGATTTTTAGGGGAAACTTTATGAAGGACAAAAGCTGTCTTGGAAGGTGGAGTTTGTGTGGTTGAATCAGCTGAATGTCAAGAAAATCAAGATGTTAAGAGTAACCAATACTCTTAATGTTAAGAGTAATCAAGGTAGAAATTTCAAACTTAGTAATTGGAATAATATTGAAAGAAAAGATATATTCACCAATCACAGATATGGGAGCAACAGTATGAACCATTATTTAAACCACTGTTTTAGAGAGGTCTGCAAATCTGAATTATAAACTTGATTTTAGTAGGATTCCTTATTTGTAAGATGAGAGGGAAAAAATAGTCTACCAAGGGAAAACAAAGAAACAGTTTATCTCGAATCCCTTGCCTTAATCTCTTTTATCTTTGTAGCTGCTGATGGAACAGAAAGCAGTAAACACTAAATGTATGAAGCATACACATATCCAGAGACAGAGAGAAAGCTAGAACAGCCTAGAGGTGGAGTTTAGATTAGGGACAGTGGAAGAAGGGATGAGTTGTGTGCTGCAGAGAGGGGAGAGGTGGTTCTACAGCAGAATATCTTTTTGCACATTCAGTGCCAAGGCAAAGACCATGTGATAGTCTCAAATGAAGGTAATTATTGGCTAGTAGGCAAAATGAAGAAAGTTGTAGCAGCTATTTTCCTGGATCTCTTCAATTTTAATAATTTCTGCAAAATGTACAGTTTAAGATGGCTGACTCAAACTCACACTACCCCTGGTTGCGCTGCTCCTGATGTTGGATGGTGTTGAAGTGTATGGGGCATCCAGCTAAAGGGAAGTTGAGTTACAGATCTTTGTCATTCAAGTTTAGTGGGATATATTTATGTGGTTTTCTATCACTTTCATGTGTAGTTATTGTTGACCATCCAAGTAAGGCATGGCTTCTAACTCCCACTGTGCTGACTCACTCATCCAGCATCATGTCATGAGATGCTGGGCCAGAGATACGTCATTTAATAAAAATAGTTGTTTTTCTGGATTTTGTGACATAGTTGTTGTTTTCAGTGTTTTAATAATTGTGATGTGATTTTTTTCATTGTAAGTAGCTATTCACTTTTTAACCTAATTCTGTATACATAATTACATATTTTTCTTGAAGAGAATTCCCTCAAATTATTTATGCTTCAGAACCCACAAAACCTGAATCTGCCCATTTTTAATTCATCTAATGAGACTTCAACTCATTTCTCCCTTCTGCTCCAATAACCAATCAATCAATCAAAGAAATGACAACAATAATTTGTCCATCTGCCTGCTGATGTGTATAAGTACAAGAAGGTAAAAGTTTATTTCAAATTTAGACTACAAATCTTTAAAAAGGAACTGCTTAGTTGAGGTAGTGTTTTCACCTGCCTGAGTTTGTTACGTGTAATCAGTTCCAAAACTCTGACTACCGTATAGTTCCTTCTTTAATACTGCAAGAGGATGAAAGGCACAGAATTGGTTCTAGAGATGAGGATACATTGTCACCAAAGAGGTAAACCAGCCAGAAGGAGGAGGCTGAGAATTTAGAAAGCCAAGACGAGCCACATCCCTGTTTATCATTATCCTGGGAGTTACAAACAGAAGCTTTGGACAAAGGAACCATTCCTCACTGGGGGAACTTTTAAAAATAGTTTGCAGTGACCCTAAAAGCTGGGCTGGTTTTTAGGAAGCTGCCTTCAGAGACCACTTAGCAAGAGGATGCTATTAAAATAATTTTATAAACCTCCTGAGAGGTTTGGCAGCTTTGGTAGGCTTGATTTTTCCTCGAGTGGGAAAATGGTCAAAAGATTTGGCATGTGGAGAAAGCTGATTGGACAGATGAAGGCTAAACATAGGACTCTAGATTTAGTTGGGTGACTTTTGAGGGCTATTCTGTAGGTAAGAAAACGTAAGTGGAAGGATCTAGGGAAGGAGGACACATGGATTCAAATCCTAGCATATTTATACTACTTGATAGGGCCTACTTCGAAGTACTCTGCAGTATTATGAGGGTAACAGTACCTTCCAGGGTATTCAGGGTTGTCATGAAAATAAATCAGTGACTGAGACATAGAAGATCAGGGGTTCATCATCAGGGGGTACACAAATGACCATGAAAAAGGAAAGTAAACTTTAAAATAGCTCAGCAAACTCAAGATTTCATTAAAATATTTCTGTGTGTGAACATTTGGAAGAGAAAGTGGTTCGTAATATCAAATTCTCAAGAGATTTGTGACAAAAGGTTAAGAATCATTGAAGTAGGAGCTCATTTATGTTTGAGAATGAATTGCTAAGGGAAAGGTCTGAAGTCTCTAGAATAGTCACCAAGAAGTAAAGGCTGGGATGGAAGAGAAATAGGTAATAGTGGGAAAAATGATCAAATTGACACTGATGAAATAAAGTAATTCTGTATTTGTACTCAGTACTAGTCTTTGTAAGTATATTTCTGTTTATATAACGAAAAGAATGTAAAATATTTTCGTTTTTTTCATGCCACAAGAACATGGTTGATTTTTTTTCAATGCAAGTAAATTTAAAAAGCATTGGGATGCTCTCAAATAAATAAAATCTTAAAAAAAAAATTGACTAGTAAATGAGAATATGTTGAATTTCTTTTAGGAAGTAGCTACTTAAATTCAAGGTGTTATAGCATACTTTTTCTTTCAAAATTCAATCCCTTTACAAATTTTAACAGGAATGATACCTTGGTTCATTTTATTTTTTTTTTAAGATTTTATTTATTTATTTGACAGAGAGATAGCGGGAGCAGGAACACAAGCAGGGGGAATGGGAGAGGGAGAAGCAGGCTTCTTGCCGAGCAGGGAACCCGATGTGGGACTCAATCCCAGGACCCTGGGATCATGACCTGAGCCGAAGGCAGACGCTTAATGACTGAGCCACCCAGGCACCCTGCCTTGGTTCATTTTAATAATTTATTGAGGAGCTTAAACTATTGGTATCTGCACTTTACAGGCCTATCATATTGATGGTGGATACCATAAATAATCAATTTCTTGGCATGTCTAGTTTTTACACAGCTTTATCATACTACTGATACCCTATAGCCGAAGTCTAAAATCCCCTCGCCCCACAGCACACAGACTCGTACTCATTCACCCATCATCCAACTAAACCTATACATCATTATATCCTTAGCATAAAGATCACCTTCTTGGCAGGGAGGGGGTGGGCTTTCTTCAATCTAGTTGAACAGCTTCCTTTCTTGCACTTTAATTACTTGTTCAACTCTTGTTTTTGCTGCCAGACTATATATAAGGACTGGGTGGCAAGAACTGAGGGTTCTCCGCCCCACTACTGTTTCTCTAGGGTTTAGCAGACAGCCTGATTTATAACAAGCCCTTAAAAAAATGATTATTACTACTTATTTTAAAACTATCTTAATTTTTAAGTAGGCTCCACACAGATCTTGAACTCAAAACTTGAGCCAAGATCAAGAGTCAGATGTTTAACCGATTGAACCACCCAGACACCCTAAAACTATCTTAAATTTACATCTAAGTTTCAAATACATTACAGAGGACTTTTTTTTTTAATTTGCTGAACTATTTGATAGTAAGCTGCTCATAAAATGCCCTTTCACTCTCTAATCCTGTAGTGTTTTCTTGCGAAAGACCTTCTCCTATATAATCAGTATAACAATCAAAATCAGAAATTTGATATTGATACATAACTTCTATCTAAATTTTAAGCCACAGTCAGGATTTGCCAATTTTGTTGATAATATCCTTTATGTAATCCAGTATAGAATTTCACTCAATTTAGTTGTCAGGCTCTTCAGTCTGAAATAGATTTTTAATCTTTTCTTGGTTTTATGGCCTTAACCGTTTTGAAGATTCTAGGCGGGTTATTTTCTAGGTTGACCCTCAGTTTGGCTTTTTCTAATTTTTATGAGTAAATTCAGGTTATTCAACTTTGGGAGGATTATCACTTAAGTGACATCTTGCTTTTCTCATTGTATCCTATCAGCTGGCACACAATTACTGTTCACTTTAATCCCTTGATTAAGGTGGTGTCTGCCACTCTGAAGATTTTTTTTTTAATCTCTTTGTAATAAGTATTTTGTGGAGAGGTACTTTGAAAAAATGTAAATATCTTGGTCCTCACCAAATGTACAGTTAATTAACTTAAATCATATAGACTCATGTTTATTAAATGGGTCATAACCTGTTACTACTGTTATTTATTGTGATGCTCATATTGTCCCAGATAATGCCAGTGGAAGTTCCTTCAAGCTGGCTTCTATGACCTTTGGACATGTCTCCATTGTTCTCTGAGATCTTATTTTCTGGCACCGCAAAGTATTCCAGACTCCTCTTGCACTTTCCTTACTCTGGAATCAGTCATTTCTCTAAGAAACCCAGTTTTCTCGGGACTCCTGGGTGGCTCAGTTGGTTAGGCGACTGCCTTCGGCTCAGGTCATGATCCTGGAGTCCCGGGATCGAGTCCCACATCGGGCTCTCTGCTCAGCAGGGAGTCTGCTTCTCCCTCTGACCCTCCCCCCTCTCATGCTCTCTCTATCTCATTCTCTCTCTCAAATAAATAAACAAAATCTTTAAAAAAAAAGAAACCCAGTTTTCTTTTAGTGGAGAATGATAATTAGACACCATGAATTGAGCATTCAGGTGTGTTGATTGCTTTTGGATCATCCTTGTTCCCAGACTTTCTCAGTGGACAGAACTATGGAATAGATAAGTCTGATTGTACGTACACACGCACACATGCTTGTGCAAATATGCGGATATTCATTTACAATGATTTTTTTTTCATATTCCGTCTCTATATGTTGACAACCATCGCAGTGCCATCTCTCCACCACCCCCCATGGATGCCCACCTAAAGCCTTTAAGTACTGCATTGTTAAAGAGGAAGAAGGGGTCAAAGTACTTTTTAAATATCTGAATAAAAACTAACTTGAGATGTTACCTTTGTGTCAAGTTCCTCCAACTTCTTGATGTATTTTATCTCCTTTTTCAGACTAATCTGCATTTCTCTGGGTATATGATAGGGAGAGCTCTTGCCTCATCGAAAGAGGAGTATAAAGAGTCAGTGCTTTTCTACCTTTATCTTAAGTTTTTTGTATTTGTATTTGTTTAGCTCTGTATTTCTCACTTAGTATTTTTAGCAAGAAATGCTTTATTGTAGGATTGTCGCATACACTGCAAGATATTTTGTTCCCTGACTCTACATTCACTATTGCCACCTGAGGCCCCCCACTTAAAAATGGGGTAACTAAAAAGCAAAAACAAAGTACTTTTACACATTTCCAGCTGCCTTGTAGGAAGGCAACCTTCCCCTAGTTGAAAACCCCTGGAGCTCTTTGCAATTGTATAATAACTGTTCCCTTAATACATTCTTAGGTTCACACCAATTCACATGGAAACACACACACAACAGTTTAACTACCTCAGTCTATTCTCCATCAAGTGGGTTAGCCTTGTAAAATCAATGCTCTCTCTTTTGATTAAAAAAAAAAAATGCATGATTTTTGGCTTGGTAAATGTCCCCTCTTGATCCTATTTTGGGCACCTAGGCCCAAAACCAGATGCTGCTTTGTAAGAAAATTTTCTTCCATCATTGAAATATCCCTTAAATTAAGTTCCCAGTGCCATATATGAAATGTGTGTTAGCTTTTGAGCTGTATATTTTCATAGAAATGGTAGATTGGGTTTAGTCAAGTCAGCTTCTAGGTAACAGTCAAGGCTAGGCTCATAAAAATAGGAACTGAGGACTGTCTCTCTTGGGTGTCCCTCCTGCTGATGTGCTGAAGACTGTTTCTCTTTCCCTGATTAGATCAGGAAGGGCCACGTTTTCTCTGGGCCAACAGGCTACTGGAACAAGTTCATCCCCCTTCTTCACTGTTGGTGTGTATAGTAAGTAGCCTACTTGCATTGAGAAGATAGCACAGTCTCCAGCTAGAGATGTTTCTTTCCCACTGTGTCTTAGTCCTTTTAAGCTGCTATAACAGAATACTATAGACTAGGTGGCTTACGTATAAACAATAGAAATTGATTTCTCGTGGTTCTGTAGGCTAAAAGTTCAGATCAGAGTGTTGGCATGGTTGGGTTCGGATGAGAGCCCTCTTCTGGGTTGTAGACAGCTATCTTTTCATTTCGTCCTCCTGTGATGGAAAGGGATAGAGAAATCTCTGGGGTCTCTTTTAAAAGGGCACAAGTCCATTCAGGTGGGCTCCATCCCATGACCTAATCTCCTGCTAAAGGCCTCACCCTAATAACTATCACATTGGGGGTTGGGATTTCAACAGATGAATTTGGTTCAGTCCATTGCACACTGGGATTTAAGGGCTTGTTTGTGTTCATCCCTTAAGAATTTGAGTTCTTGGGGCGCCCGGGTGGCTCAGTCAGTTAAGTGTCCGACTCTTGATTTCAGCTCAGGTCATGATCTCAGGCTCATGAGCTCGAGCCCTGCATTGGGCTCTGTGCTAAGCGCAGAGCCTGCTTGGAATTCTTTCTCTCTCTCCCTTTGCCCCTCTTCCCGCTTCTGTGTGTGTGTGTGGGTGCATGCGTTCTCTCTCTCTCTCTCAAATCTTAAAGAGGGAAAAAAAAAAGGAATTTGAGTTATTGTTGGAGGAGAAGAAATCTGCCCCTAGTTTCACCAACTATTCAAATATAGGAAGAGGAAATAAGGTTCAATCTATGTTATGTTTGAAAAAAAATTATACCTTAGACTTGAGAATAAGCTTTGTGCGAGTACATGGTATGATTTAAAAACTTAGTGGGGTGCACTGCTCTTTTGGGTAGAACCCATGACAGAGATGTTTACTGCTTAACAAATATGTGAATGTTCCCTCATACTTCCCAGCTCTTTTGCAGTTAGGCGGGGCCGTGTGACTAGTTCTACCAACTAGGGTGCGTAGAGCTGTGAGAGATGTGTGTCACCCAGCCTCAAATTTGTAAGCATGGATTAATTTTTATGAATGCTTTCAAGTGAGCTAAATTTGAGCTGTACTAAAACTGGTCATAGAATGTTTCTAATTTCCAGCTATCCTAGGAAATGAAAGACATTATTACGTTATCTAACACCTTCATTTAGAAACTGATGGTTTGGTTTTATTTGGTTTGGTTGTAAACAAGTCTGGACGAGGCTTGATAACTCATTACCTGAAAGGACCTAATCCGAATGGGATGAACTCAGTAATTTAAAGAAAAAAGCAAATTAGAAAATTGTGTCAACATGACAATATTTTAGTGCTGTTCAGTTAGTGGTTTAAGCCACAAGAAATTTATTTTAACTCAAAAAGAAACTTAGACACTGTAAAGTGCCTTAATTCACTTCCTTTGCCTTCCCTTCCCTTACTTTCCCTGGCAACCTGGTACATCTTATTTCAAGGGCATTCCCAAATTGCATCAGCAATTTTTGTGCTAATGAATGACCTCTTTCAGTTCATTAGGATCCTGGACAGCTCTCTCTCTCTCTCTCTCTCTCTCTCTCACACACACACCCCTACCATAGGGTATCTTATCTAAAATATTTCTTCATCTCAGAAATTTTTAGGAGTTTGATTACTTGGTGCTATTGAAAAATGAATATTTTGCACATTGTGTCCTTATGACCTTTTTTTTTTTTTTTTGGCACTTGGTGAAAACAAAAACAAGGAGAAAAAACACAGAACAATTTCACACCTAAAATTGAAGGAGTTGATTACTGTCATTTTGATGATGTACCTTTTATACGTTTGCAGTGGTTAAGAAAGACTTTATGGTTTGGAGCATGAGCACTTTAAAGTGATTCAAAATTATTGAAGAGCTACAAATTTTATAAAGTGCTTCAATTTGTTACTGACTAGAGCAGCAGTGGAACGATTCAGCGGAGCTTTTAGTACTATGCACAGCCTGCAAATGCTTTCATAATCTTTCCAGGTGTTGCTCCTTTACACGTAGGGGCTCTGAATGTTCCTGCCTAGAGACAGTCCATTGCTAGCAGAAGCAGAGCTGCTGTTTTGGAGACCTGCGCACCACAAAAGTGGTGCTTACACATGGGTGTAATTTTGGCAATGCTGCTAACTCCAAAGCAGCCTTCCGTTGTTACTTGGCTTTGCCAGAATTAAAAAAAAACTGTTGGTCTAAAAAACCACTACTGGTCACTTAATTTAGTGTCTGGATGGGCATAGGCATGTGGGGAGTGCAAAATAAGTGTCATAAGTGTGGGCAAGGTAGCTTAGACACTGCAAAATGAGGAAGTGACCTTTTAGTCCCCTTGAGACAGAGACTGATGTTTAGAAAGTTGGTGCTTGTAAGAGAGGACAAAACTTTGTAAAAGCAGGTTTTAAAGATTTCTTTCTGCTTTGCCATTAGCTTGCATTATTTTGCTGGACTTTGATTTGCATGTTTTAGGGCACCAGTAAGCCCTGCTCATGTAAAATAGGAAAAATAAGGCATAATCTTTGAAATTTAAAATGACCACGTAGTTTATTTATTTATTTTATTTATTTATTTATTTTTTAAAGATTTTATTTATTTATTTGACAGAGAGATAGCGAGAGCAGGAACACAAGCAGGGGGAGTGGGAGAGGGAGAAGCAGGCTTCCTGCCGAGCAGGGAGCCCGATGTGGGGCTCCATCCCAGGACCCTGGGATCACGACCTGAGCCGAAGGCAGACGCCTAACGACTGAGCCACCCAGGCGCCCCAAAATGACCACGTAGTTTAGATATTGACTTGTAATATGGGGTTCCACTAAAGCACGTGTATAATTCTGCCTTTTAAAATCGATTTACACCCCTGGGATGTCCTGAATAGTACGTGGCTCCTCCATGTGATGGTTGTGAATGGCACATTTCATTTCTTTAGAATTAGAGTTGTAGAGCTCAGCCAGTTCACTAAGGAGAATATAATCTTAGAACAAAGCTAAATGCAAAAAAAGTCAGTTCAAAGACATAACCAGTTTGGCATTGGTGGGGTGTAGGTGGTGGTGGCATTCAGCAGGTTTCTAGTTTGTAAGTTTCTGGCAACATTAGATGTCCAGAAAACCATGGTCTATTTTGTTACCCAGGTGATTCTTGCCAGAGATGAGATTAGAATCCACCTTTCCAAGACTCCTATCTCACCAGTGTGCTTTTACTACTGTGCTTTTGATCATTCATTCTATTTAAAATTATGATGCGTCCTTTTAGAAGAGGACTTAACATGTTAGGATATAGCTTATAAATAAATTTTAAAAACAAAATGAAACTCCAGTTTTTAGACTTAAGAAATCTAGAATTTGCATTGAGATTTATTAATATAATTAATTTGAGTGCCCAGCACCCCCAAATTGAAAGGCACTAAGCATTTCTCCCTATCTGGCTATCTTGGTGGAGTTTCCAGTGAATACCCATGTGAATGCCTTTTTTATCACCTAAAATATGAAGCAAAACTGATTTCTGACAAGATCCAAGACTTCAGAGCCACAGTATGGTAAGGTAGAGTCCCATTCATCATACTTCCTCAAGGATAACAGTGGAAAAACTGTATGTCATTTTAAGATCAGACTTTCTAGGAAAATAAATTATCTCCCCAGCTTCCTAATTCTGTGTTTTCTCTTTAAGTGAACTAATACATGTAAAGAACTTAGAGTGCTTGACTCTTATTACCATTTTATCATTTGTTATCATTATTCCTCCTTTTCTTTACTCAATTACATTTTTTCTCCAAATAGTCATGTGTATCCTTGTCTTTTTTTTTTTTAAGATTTTATTTATTTATTTGGGGGGGGCAGGAGGAGGGGCCAAGGAAGAGGGAGAAGCAGACCCCCTACTGAGCAGGGAGCCTGAGATCTCAGGACCCTGAGATCATGACCTGAGTTGAAGTCAGATACTTAACCGACTGAGTCACCCAGGTACCCACCCTATCCTTGTCTCTTTTGAGATACTGCTTTATTAGGAAAATTGGAATTGATGGTGACTCCCAACTCTGCTTCAAAAGGTGGCCCAGATAAAATTCTGCTAAGTCTGTGCACCAGCTCACCCCGAGTGTCACAGTCTCTCCCTGTTTGTGCTCAGTTGGGGAATATTAGCCAGATTCATTTAGTTCTGCCTAATCTACCTTGTGGTTTATTTGATTAAAGTGTGAGCACCTGGATATTTGTAAACAGAACGTTAAAATATCCAGACATTCTGTTTTCATCAAGAAAATCTAAGAACTGCAAGTGAAAATTGCTAAAACTTAGTAACATAATCAGGAATGAAAGATATTTGTCCTTATTTCCTAAGCAGACAATCAACTGTAAGTAAAGGCTATTTGCATAGTGAATTAGTATTATATTTTAATTCAGCTCCAAAGCCAAGTAGATATGGTCTTTAATCTTGCTGTAAGAATGTGGTTTGTATACCAAGATGATAATGTCTAAATGTCCATTCAATAACTTTATAGAATTGATCTAAGAAAGAAAACCTGATTTGCCCTCAGTGCTTATGAAACTGTTATTTTTGAATTCTGTAAGTGAGGGTTTTGTTTTTAA